CATTCATTGTGGCTATATTGTGGCTATATTGATCTCTCTGTGCTGGTAGTGCTACTTCCTTGGTGTGATGATGACATTATGCTAAGATGAATCCTGAAAATAGTATCCTGGTGTGATGGTGGTCACTCTGTGCTGTTCATGTGAATCTTGCATTTTTGTATGCTGTGTTGTTGTAGCCCTGTTGTTCCCAGGAAATTAGAGCGACAAGGTGGGTGAGGTAATATCTTTTGTTGGTGAGAGAGAGAGACAAGCTTTGGAGTTTCACAGAGTTCTTCTTCCTGAAGAAGAGTTCTGTGAAAGCTCAAAAGCTTGTCTCTCTCACCAACAGAAGCTGGTCCAATAAAATATATTACCTCACTCACCTTTTTTCTCTAATGTTTATAAATATGCTGAAAACAGCCTCCCCCAAACTGGCAAAGGTGCTCGGAGGAGGGGGCGGAGAGGAGTGAGCGGTGGGCGGGGGGAGGAGCAGAGTGGGGTGGGGCCTAGGGAGGGCACCCACCGGCAAAACCAAAGTCAGCACCTATGCCTCCAGCCCCCTGCCGTGAGTACCCCACGACCTGAGCCCACACACCCAGCCATTTGCCCTGACCCCTGCACTCCCCTCACGCCCTCCCCAGCCCCCTGCACCCCACCACATACCCAGCCCCCCCATGTCCTGACTCCTGCACCCTCCCACATCCCCACCCCCCGCACTAAATGGGAGCTCCTGCACCCCTCACACCGTTCTATTGTTAATAAAACCTGTGCAGCTATGTGCTGTGTGAAAGACAATTTCTGTGTTGATCTCCTGTCTTTTACAATCATTCCCCGGGGGGGCCCACAAATATGTTTGGTGCCAGGCCCACAAAAAGTTAATCCAGCCCTGGAGGGCAGGGAGGCAGGCAGGGAGCCTGCCCTGGCCCTGGTGCATGCCGCTGCCACCCTGGAGCCGATCCAGTTAAGCGGCGCTGGGCCGGAGCCTGTGCCCCTTCTGCACCCCACACCCCAACTCCCTGCCCTGAGCTCTCTGCTGCACCCCTGCCCTGAGCCCCTGCTGCACCCCGCACCCCTCCTGTACCCCAACCCCTAGCCCTGAGCTCCCTGCTGCACCCTGCACCCCAACCCCCTGCCCTGAGCCCCCTCCCACATGCTGCACCCTCCCTGCACCTCTGCCCTGAGCTCCCTCCTGCACTCTGCACCCCAGCTGCCTTCCCTGAGTCCCCTCATACACCCCGCACCCCTCCTCTGCCCCAACCCCTTGCCCTGAGCCCCTTCCTACACCCCCTCCCATACCCCGCACTCCCTGCCCCAGCCCTGCATGCAATTTTCCCACCCAGATATGGCCTTCAGGCCAAAAAGTTTGCCCACCCCAGTGTAGGTGATGAATACACTTCTGTTTGGTCCAAACTAAACAGAGAAAGCATTTTAAACTGGATTAGGCTGAATCTTTTATGCAAATGTCCAGGTAACAGGATTTTTTGTATAGTGTAGATGAAGATATATGTGTAGTTGGTTCCACAGTGACTGACTGAAATCTAAAAATGTGTCTTCTTGCCTTCTGCTTTGCTAAATTCTTTTGATGGCTCTGGTCAGCCAGCTGTGCTCTGTACTGCACTTTGGGAGGAGTTCATATGACGGTCACTCTTTTCCCAAGTGCTGTATTAGAATTGGTTATCATTTGTATTACAGTAGAAACTAGGAATGCCAGTTTAAGGATCAGGCCCTCATTGTGCTATGCAGAACAGAAAAGTAGCTAAGAGACTGTTTCTGCCCCAGAGATCTTACATACTATTGGAACATTACTACCCTTAGGTGGTATTCACAAGAAAAGTGACATGCAAAGCCAGTTTTCACTTTAAACATCAGGTGAGGAAAAATGTATCAAAAGACTTGATGAGAGGTTAGAAACCTTAGCCAGAAGCTGAGAGACAGACACAGATTGTACTCCAAGCCCAGTGCTGGGGTACCATAATGAAATTGGGCTTGAGGGAAGTGCTAAGCTTATCTAAGGGTATGTCTACACTGGCAGAGTTACAACGCCAGCAGTTACAGTGCTGCTCAGAGAGCGCAGAAGGGAAACTGCTGTTGTGTGTTCACACTGTCAGCTGCCTGTGCAATAGCATGTTCACACTTGTGGCACTTGCAGTGATATTTGGAGCGGTGCACTCTGGGCAGCTATCCCACAGAGCATCTCTTCCTCTTCTGCCACTAAGAGTTGTGGGAAGGCGGAAGGGATCACGGGGCATCCTGGGTCCTGTCCCAATACCCCATGATTCATTGCTTTGCATCACAGCAATCCCTGTGCTTCCATCTGCATTTGGCACAATCTTTCAACGATTTGTGTACTGTGTGCTCTGCCTCTTCAGTCTGCAGGAATGGATCCCGAACTGTTGACCAATATGCTGCCCGATCTGACTAAAACTATTCCTTAAGCTACAAAGGCAAGAGGAGTGTTACACTGATCTTGTCATGCGTAGTAGCTACGACACGAGATCACGGAGGTGCTGACGACAGTGGAACACCGCTTTTGGGCTCTGGAAACAAGCTCTGAGTGGTGGGATCACATCGTCATGCACGTCTGGGATGACGAACAGTGGCTGCAGAACTTTCGGATGAGGAAAGCCACATTCATGGGACTGTGTGATGTGCTCGCCCCAGCCCTGTGGCGCAAGGACATGAGAATGAGAGCTGCCCTGCCGTTGTAGAAGCACGTGGCGATTGCATTGTGCAAGCTGGAGATTGCATTGTGGAAGTGATTAGTCGCTAACTAGTTCGGAGTGGGAAAGTCGACTGTTGGACTTGTGTTGATGGAAGTGTGCAGGGCCATTAATTGCATCCTGCTCCGAAAAACCGTGATTTTGGTCAACATACAGGACATTATGGATGGCTTTGCACAAATGGGCTTCCCTAACTGCGGAGGGGCGATAGATGGCGTACACATTCCAATTGTGATCCTGGGAGACCTGCCTACCGCTTAATGCTGTGGCTTATGAAGCCATACATGTGGCACCTTGTGCCATACATACCTGTTACTAACTGGCTGACCCCAGGCAAGCACACATGAGCCACAAGACCCCCAAAATAGTGAGTAACCGCAGGGGCAGGGGAAATCAGTGTTCCCGGACCCTATTGTACACTGGGCACGTGGTTCTTGGGGAGAGCCAGCACTCTGGGAGTGGGGGCTGATAATCATTTCTGTCCCCATATTTTCCATGTGTTCATTATGGAAGATATTGTGCTGCTGAGGGTGAGCAGGGAATCAAGAGAGGGTCTTTTCCAAGACTGCGGCTTCTGCCCTGGCCCTTATGCGGCTTGCCTGAGTGCGGCAATGGTTCCCCCCGCTCTCCCCCGTGATGGCAGAGTGGCACGGGAAAGTTACCGTTAATGGGGCAAGAAACAGCAGCTCTGCCAAAGAACCTGCGGCAGCGGATTGCCCAGTATCTCCATGAGAGTTTCCTGGAGATCTCTGAGGCAGATTCCCGTGAAGTGAGGGAGTCAGTCAACAGTCTGTTCCGCTGCTCAGACTAGGCATGTGGTGGTACGTGCATCATACAGACACAAGCCTGCTTTCTGCAACCCTCCTGCACCCAACAGCTTGCTTCAGCGATTCCCAAAATCAAATCCACTTAGCAGGGGCCTCCTCTTCTGTTTGCACTTCGCTAAGATCCGACAGATGTGACTGGCTAGCTTCCTCTGGGGTAGAAAAGAGGACCTGGCTGCATGCATCTCTGACCTCAGAGTCAACCTCTGCCTCTGGCTCAGTCCACTCTCGACTGTCACGTGAACTACCAAAGTATCCACAGTGGCCTTCGCAGTGGAGGTGGGGTCACCACTGAGTATCACGTCCAGCTCTTTGTAGAACCGGCAGCTTGTGGGCGCAGCACTGGATTGGCGGTTTGCCTCTCGCACCTTGTGGTAGGCATTCCGCAGCTTCTTCACTTTGACCCTGCACTGCAGTGTGTCCCGGTCATGGCCCCTTTCTGTCATGCATCATGAAATCTGTCCGTAGCTATCACAGTTCCTACGGCTGGAGTGCAGCTGGGACTGCACAGCCTCCTTTCCCCCAAATGCTGATGAGGTCCAGCAGTTCGGCATTGCTCCTAGCGGGGGATTGCCTGGTGCTTGGAGCAGGCATGGCCATCTGAAAGATGCGCTGAGACCACTGCACGCGTCACTGAGCAAACAGGAAGGGGACGTTCAAAATTCCAAAGGAATTTAACGGGGTGAAGATGATGGTTGGTCACCTGAGGGCAGGGCAGTAGAGTTCAAACTGATGACCAGAGAGGCATGAACAGGCATTGTGGGACACCTCCTGGAGGTCAATCGCAGTGCTATAATCGACCGGGGTGTCTACACTGGCACTGCGGCGTTGTACCCCAGCGCAGAAAGCTGTACGCCTCTTGTCAGGGTGGTTTTTTTACAGCACTGCAACTGCGCAGTTTCTGCACATTAAGTGGCTTGGCAGTGTGTACACCTCGGGAGTTACAATGCAGAAAGCTGCTTTACTGTGCAGAATCTTGCCAGTGTAGACAAGGCCTAAGACAATATGCTTGTAGGCCTTTTTTATTATTAACCTTTTTTCTCTCTTTGCTGTTGTTTTGAAGAATCTGGCTGAAGTCACTGTATTTTCATGCTGTTCATAGGCTCCCGAAGGGAAGTCTATATATAGCAGGGGCAAAACCCGTTGGACCTGCTGAGTAAGTGTGGTTGGTAAATGGGGATGCTGTAACCTGGAGACCCAGTCTAAAAGTGGGGTGAACCATAGGAGTCCGCCTTGAAAGAAGTATAGGTGTGAGCCTGTCACTTGAAAGGGGTGCCACAGAGAGGCCCAGAGAGAGGTGAAATGTTCAACTCACCCTGAACCATTACACTAATATGTCCTGATTTTCAAGAAATTATAACTTTACAAACTTTAATAACATTCTTTCGATGTAGTTATTTTGCAGAAGCTACAAAATTAAAATGAAATATCTTTTCATATGTCTTTTGTAAAAACAATAAAAATCTGATTCATGCAGGAGTCTGGCACAGTGACCTTTCAGCTTTAAAGATCAGAGGAAAAAGGAGAAAGAAGTGACTGCGTGAAGGAGCAAGAGTATCAGAGAGAAAAAACAGCTAGCAGTGCAGCTTGTGAAGGAGAGAAGAGTAACTGAGAAAGCTAAAAGGTGAGTAGTGTCCTGTGTGTTCCATGCAGATTTATAGCCTCCTCTAAGAGAGCAACATTCCCCCATTCACATGAATGGGATTTCTGCCTGTAGAACAGCATTAAGAAACTGGTCTATTATTGACAAATGTTTTCTGCAGTGGGAACCAGTTCTGAGTGCAATTTAACTGCTGGTGCTGGTTGACGTAGGATTCAGTCATGCCTTCTGCAGTGGTGCTCGGAAATGGTTTTGTCCTATCAACACTAGCAGTCTAGTACCAGTTCATGGAGGAGAAAGCTGCTGAAAACCATTGTTGGTAGTAGGTCAAGTTCAGAGTGCCTGGGTGGGGTTGATTTAAAGGGCTATGTTTGCAAAGGGACACAGTTACCTGATTCACATGTGCAAATGTGTGGTTTTCAGGGCACATACCCTGCTTTGGAAAAACTGGCCCCAAACACCAAGGAACAAATTGATTTTTGTTTCTTTTTGGGCTATGCTCCTGACATGGTATCTGAAATTTTAATGCAGGCAGGTGCTGTCTTATAATTCTGGGATACAAACTCCACCTGTCTTCTTACAATGATACGGGCCAGTCAGTTTAAAAAAAATCTGACCAATCCAAGCACATTTATTGCGGAGTTGTACCCACTGCTTGCAGAACAGAAACAGAGGGTATGTCTACACTACGAAATTAGTTCGAATTTATAGAAGCCGGTTTTATTGAAACCGGTTGTATACAGCCGATTGTGTGTGTCCCCACATAAAATGCTCTAGGTGCTCTAGTCGGCGGACCGGGTCCACAGTACGAGGCTAGCGTCGACTTCCGGAGCATTGCACTATGGGTAGCTATCCCACAGCTATCCCACAGTTCCCGCAGTCTCCGCCGCCCCTTGGGATTCTGGGTTGAGATCCCAATGCCCGGATGATGCAAAACAGTGTCGCGGGCGGTTCTGGGTACATGTCGTCAGGCCCCTCCCTCCCCCGTAACAGCAACGACAGACAATAGATTCGCGCCTTTTTACCTGGGTTACCGGTGCAGTTAAG